GTCTGCCAGACTGAATTCTTTTAGGGCCAGACAAAAAATGTGCTAGATTGAAAGTTTAAGCGGGAGAAATACTGTAGGAGATCAGGGGATAATTGCTATGGAATTGCATAGCCCTCAAATTTGCTTTCATGTCAGATAAATTAATTCACATAAATATTCAGTCTGTCTCTTAGCATACATGGAGGAGGGCTCTGGGCAGCAGCAGGCAGTGTCTAGGCATCTGGGAATGGGATTAGCCATGCTGGCTTTCTAATGAGTCTTGAGTGTCCTTCCTGGCTCTGTTGCTCCATCAGCCCCTGACAAACAGAATCATATTTAAACTCCAGCATGGAGGTTTGGAGGCTTCCCTTTTAACCATTGTGCCATCTTTGCAGGGCTAAGCTTGAAAAAAGCCGCTGCTTTTGCCCAAGCCCTGAGAGCGGAGCCTCGGTACCTGCTGGCCCAAAATGTTGCAACCTGCGGAGACCCACTGGAGGTGTGCCTGGAGCGGAGTGTGGTGCAAGACACACTCCAGGTGTTCCAGCACACGGTACCGACTGAAGGCAAGCCAGTCACCAATCAGAAGAACTCAGGTAATGGAAAATTCCCCAGAGAGGCAGGCTGGCAGCCGCTCCTCTCTGGAAACGAATCTCTTCTTAGCTGTGACAATGCAAAGAGGCTGCCCAGATTGGGGTTAGTCATCGCTCCCACAAGGCAGGACGTGTTCCCGCCAGCCATCACCATGGAGTCTTCTTGCCTGGATAGTTTTCTGCCTCGGGCATTTACAAAAAGGCCCTTTTGGAACCAAGCTTCCAGGAAGACTGTTCACACAAGTCCATTTCAGTTTTGGAGTCCAATAGAAATCCTTGTGGGGTGAAATTTGAACTGGTGGCTTTTTCAGGATTTCAGTGGGGTAGCCATGGGAGTCTGTTGCAGGAAAAGCACCACTGAGTCTCGTGGATTGAAGACTTCTACTTCCCAGCCTGTGTGCGTGTGCGCGCTTGCATGCCTGGAAGTCATGGCAGCTTCTGGCGACCCCTACTGGGGTTCGGACATTTCAGAGGGGTGGCTTGATTGCCTGCCTCTGCGTCCCAAGCCCTGTTATTCCTTGGAGGTCCTTCCAGTTACTTGCCAGGGTCTGCCCTGATTAGTTTCAGAGATCTGATGAGATCAGGCTTGCCTAGTCTATCCAGGTCAGGGCTACTTCCCAGCCTTTATCGATGCAGCAGCTTTGATGGGCTAGGAACCATCGGACAAAATCTTCTGCTTCAGAGGATGCTAGTAGTCATTGCCGCACGACTCAGAGGGGGTTTGCCCCGGAATTATGAGTCTGCAGTCTTGAGACGCCTCTAAATCGTTTTTTGCCATGGCTGTTCTAGAGTGACACATGCAGTTGGAGTTTCTGCTAAAAATTGGAAGCAGCTGGTGGCTATCATTCTCTGAGTGCTCAGCGGCTTCGCCTTTGCATGACCACTACTGGAAAATTTGTGCTGGAAGTTAGAGTGGAAAGCCAGTCCAGTTTTAGACTGGAAGTGTCATTATGTGCCGCAGTGACCATGAATAGTCTCAGCCTCTCTCTCTCTCTCTTTTTGAGCTTTGTGGGGGTTTTTTGGCTATTGTTTGTGTACACTGTTGTGTCCTGCCCATACATGAGCAGGGCTTGGTTCACAAAAAAATACAGCACACGAGACCCTAGCAGGCCCTGTTAGGGGTGTATGTGTGTTAAGTTCCTGTCCTGCTGGGAGAGAAATATTCCCACTTAGCAGCCAGAGATCAAGTCCAGTGCCATGCGTCTTTCTTTGTTCTCCTGGAGTAAAAGTGTGAAACGTTTGAGCCAGTGTTTAATAATGCTCAGTGATTTCAGTGATCTAGAAGCCAGTAGCTCAGGCAGAGCAAATACACCCTTGCGTGGTTGCCTCCAGATGACTGAGTTAGAGATGCCTTTGTAAATTTGAAGAGAGCTTAGGGTCTTTTCCCTTTTTTCAGGCTGTACCACAAATTAGCATATGTGAGTAGATGGGCTAGTAAAAATATTCAAGGGCAACCAGTTTTTTGTGGGTTTGTTTGCAAAAGTGGAACAGAATGGGGAGGGCACCATTTGGGCAAGAAGTGTGTGGTGTAGGAACAGAGTCCTCACTCTCTTTTTCTCTTGCTCTGAAAATGGTGCCAACAAGCTTGTGTTTCAACAACCAGTAACGTCTGCCTATCGCTCTGATCCGTAGGGCGCTGCTGGATCTTCTCATGTCTGAATGTGATTCGTCTCCCGTTCATGAAGAAGTTCAACATCGAGGAGTTTGAGTTCAGCCAGTCATACCTCTTCTTCTGGGACAAGGTCTGGAGGGTGGAAAGCCTTTTCATTTTACTGCTTGAAGCTTTAGTGTAGGTAAATCCAGCAGGCTTTCCTCTTGATGCGTGGGTACGATTCAGGCTTGTGCCCTGAGCCTCCACGAATCTTCCAAAGCACCTCCCTTTTTGCTAAGGTAAGAGCTAGTGTGATGCAAGGATTTTGGTCCAGGGAGCTCTTGGGTCAGATCCCATTCAGCTGACAAATTAGCTATGGGAGGACCATTGTCTCTTCTGCACTGTTTGTGGGGGCCATCACTGCCCCAGTCCTCCTTACTGTTGTGTGTCCAGCCATACTGTCCGTCTTTATAAAATTACGAAGCATGTGAATGGAGAGGACAGTGGTGGTGGGGGTTATCCATGCTCCAATTACCTTTGGACCTCATCCTCCTGGTCTTCACTTAGCCCCATGACCTCAGATCAAAAGGGGAGGGAGCTTGCTGCTGCCCATCATGTAATGTCTGGAGCAGGTGATCAGCAGACTCCTCACTGGCCACCATCCCTGCCCTTTTAGAGAGAGTGCAGCTAGTTTTGACGTGTTCTCTCAAGGACTCTGGCTTTTCGGCAGAATCCATTCTCGTGAGAAGCTGGACTCCCTCCCTGCTCTTGCCCTCCTCTCTCTTCGACCGCCACTCAGCCAGTGGGGTGGCAACGCCTCTGAAGTCTCCCTTGCCGCTCAGAGCAGTTACTGGTGAGGGACAAAGGAGTCCCTGTCCCCGAAAGACTGGATTATATAGACCTTTGGTCTAATCCAGCAGGACTGTTTATATGGCAACCCAGACTGGGATCCAGCAGGGCAAGAAGTGGGCCAGTAGCCAGGTGAAAGGATGCCATAGTTGTCAGACAGCAAGCTGGAAAGGTTGGTACAATACAATGGGCTGGCTGCCCCTTGAGGGGCAGAGCATGTGCACTCTGGCCGTTTAGCCCTGGGGGATCGGAGGTTTAGGGGAAAGCCCGACAGCATTTGAAAGGTGGCGTATTGATCAAGTATCTTGGTAGCATTCTCTTTATATTTACCATAACCCACAAGGTGGGACGCTTAAGCTAATTATGACAACAAGCCAGTAAGCAGTTACTGTAAGACGATGGAATGAACTTCAAAACGATTGTCACAGATTCTTCTAACAGTTTTCGGCGAGGTTTCTATAAACGGGAATGAACAGTTGAACAGGTCGGGTCTTGCATTCTTACCCTGGCACATCAGAGTTGGCCTTCAGTTACAATTTGTTAACACATTAATACAGAAGGGAAGCCAGGTGGCACGGGGCAGGGCAGAGGGTTGTCCCCAGATCTAGCAGCAAGTGATGGGAGTCCCAGGCCATCTTCGGTGGTGTGGACAGTGCTCTGACCTGCCTAGGCTAGTAGCAGGAGGCCAGGGAAAGAAGCTCTGGGCAGGTGCCACCTCCCCTGTCCTTGCTAACCAATGGCCCTATCATGAAATCAGAAAGGGAAGCTGCCACCGGCAGAGGGGCACTCTTGGCTGCAGGGGAACGTTGGATCATGGCAGAACCAGTGGTCCGTGGGTCTCTGATTTCGTTCTCCTCTGCTTCCTTCCCAGATCGAACGTTGCTACTACTTCTTGCATGCCTACGTGCAAACAGCTCAGCATGAGGAGCCAGTGGACGGTCGTCTGGTACAGTTCCTGCTCACCAACCCTTCCAATGATGGCGGGCAGTGGGACATGCTTGTGAACCTTATAGGTAAGAGAAGGCAGCTCCCGGGAGTTTGAGGAGCCTTCCGCAATCGGGGCAGCTTAGCAACAATGGCAAAGAGCTGGGCAGAGGGAGGATTCTAGCACCTCACTGGTGGGAGTGCAAAGACTGAGTAGAGACCAAGTTATCCCTCTTGCAGAATATGAACACTTGTCATCCAGTGAAACTGATTGGCAGTAAGTTGCAGGATTTGGGTTCCTTTGTCTCCAGATGTCGGCTTTTTTCAAAAAGCACAGGCTGAGCGTAGCCCTGGATGTGTCACATGAACGCATTTCATTTGTGCAGTCGCTGCACCAAGTGTGTTTTGGGACAAGGTGCTTTTTTGTTTGTTTGTAAGGCAGAAGACTGCAACAAATAGCACTAAGTCCTGCCATTTTGGTTTTTTAAAGATTTGCAGCAGGTACGCTATGCCTCACGTGGTCCCTGGAGCTCATTGCCACTGGAAACTGTGATATTAGCCCCCGTCATAGGTGGTTTAAAACCAAAGGACTGGTTAAATGAGTGGGAGATGGGTCTGTTAAGTGGCTTTTAGCCAGGATTGAGCAGAGTGGAATATAGGTCTGGTCTTGGGATGGCATTCCCTGTGTTGGTTGAGCATACTTGCTGGGAGCGATGATGGAGAACTCTTAACAGGTGCTTGGCTGCCTTCTCATGTGCAACCTACTGACCTTCCTGACATCCTCTTATTGTGGGATGACAGCGATCCTGGCTCTGGTAACTGCTTGGCTAACCCAGGGATTGCACAAACAGAACCGCTTTTTGTTCTGGTCAAGAGGCCCTTTAGAGAATTGCTCTAGCTGGTTCAGAATTGCTTTAAGTGGGGGCAACCCTATTGCCTTAAGGGACTGTAGGTCACCTTAGGACCTGTTTGTTAATCTGGGTGGGGGAATCTCAGCTGGAAAGGTCTGTTTCTCTGCCTCCCAAGTTTTTTTGAACTGGTTCTGCCTTGTTTTTTAAATTTTATGGTGTGAGCTTATGAAACTGCATTTTACCAAGTTAGAGATCTTGTCCATCTGCTCTGGCTTAGTAGATTGCCTGCCCCCTCTTATCAGCAACTCTCCAAGGCCTTTTGCAACTACAGATATAAAATTTCTGGGGGGGAGGGATAGTATTTTTCTGTTCCCCCAACCTCGGAGAAAAATTGGCATTTTCAGGGGAGGGGAATTGAAACATACACAACCTTCTACGGTTTTAACAACATCAGATACATCATTTACAATCCAGTTATCATACCTAATTATACTATTTGGCTTATTTATGGAATTTACAAGAATCAACGCCTTAGTTTTCTACAAGCAAAGTTGCAAATAGACCCAGTTCTTGAGAGAGCAATGCAAACTGTTTCACCCTATGGTGATTTTAACACCTGCATTTTTGTGATCTGAGAGGTAGGGAAAAAATAAAAGCTGAACTAGGAACTAGAAAACAAATGCTCTCATAAAGGAAAGGGAACATACAACCACCATAGGACTACTGGCATGTCTGGATATCAAGTTAAACGTCATAACATTAAAAACGCTGAATGCTTTAATTATATATTATCAAACACATTAAATTGCTGCCAAATTATTCACATTTGAACAATAAACGTATCTTTGAATTTCTTTGTATGCCTACATTATACAGAGGAATTACTTAACACTGTAATTTGTCTTTTGTAAACCTTTTCATGCTACATAATTTGATTGAGTAAAACTATGTTTTGAAAGGATTTCAACTGTTTCAAAAGCGATTTTTTTAGTGCTCCCCAACATTTCATAATTTTTCCACTGGACAAATGGAAGAAAACCATTGGGAAAACCCCTTTTTTTCCTGAATCCTGTTTTATTTTCCTTGGGGCTTCACATCTCTATTCTGGATACCTTTAACTGGAGATGGCAGGGACGAATGTGAGACCTTCTGCATGCCAAGAATTTGCTTTGCTGCTGCAAGCTGGCTCTCCTGCTCCAATGGGAACAGACACGGAGAAAAGTTACCTGGAATCAGTTTAATTGTGCCAAGGATCTCTGAACTTAGCTTGCGTCATAGGCAATTTATGCCTCCTTGTGCAGCAGCTCTGCACATGTGCAGAAGGCAGAGTCCTCCTTCCTTTGGCCAAAGATTCTGATCAGTGACTGAAATTTTCTTCTTAGAAAAGTACGGTGTTGTTCCCAAGAAGCTTTACCCTGAATCGCATAGCACAGAGGCCTCCAGAAGGATGAATGACATTCTGAACCATAAGGTAACTGGGAGGCAGACTGGGAAGGGGGTGTTTGGTTTCTCTAAAACATTCAGTACGGAGACGAACCAAGTAATTAATGAACTACTGGGTGTGTCTTATTACATCCCCAGAATATGTTTCTGATCTGCGCATTGGCTGGGAGCATCACTTTAAGGCTGTTTCCACATGGGTTTTGGGACCCTGGTTCAATGCTCTTGGGAAGTGGGGGGGTTTTCTGCTTCTCTACAGCATCGTGGTACATTTGTGTACCTCCCAAGATTTCCCTGGCATTTCTCTGATCTTTCCCAAACCTGTTTTGCTGTGACATTTCGGAAAAGATCACAGCAAAACCAGGACGGCTGCAGTGGGGATGGGAAAGTTCAGACTTCCCCCCCATTCTGCCCACGCGGCAGCCATTTTTCCTGCCCCTGTCCCTGCAGTGGCCATTTCCCCTCCCTGCCCCTCAGGAGGCTTGGGGGGGGGGGGTGCTAGTCAGCAATTGAATATTGTAACATTTTTAGCAATCTGCATATTTCCCCTTATCTCTGCAATGAACCAGTCTAAAGTCTTACTTTTTAGCAAAGAAATGCAGGTTGAAATTCACAGTAAATGATACACATTATATCGTTGTAACATCATATCTCTATAATAGTATTCAATTGGTGATTTAAAACCCCCCCGGAAAAGGCTCTGGTGGCATAGGATTGGCTGCTGCTGAGGGACTGACACAGGGGGAAAGACCCAGAAACCAGCCATGTCAAAGCCCTGTGCCACTGTGCTGTATCAGCCAGAGCAGCAACAAGAAAACTACACAAGCCCATCCCTGTGTGCACAGTACCTACCTTAGCTAGTCCACACATACTATCCAGTTTGGTGTAGTGCATGAACTCTAATCTGGGAGAACCGGGTTTGATTCCCCACTCCTCCGCTTGCACCTGGCTGGATGACTTTGGGCAAGCCATAGTTCTGATAAGAGCTGTTCTTGAAAAAAGAGCCGTTTCTGTCAGAGCTCTCTCAGCCCCACCTACCTCACAGGGTGTCTGTTGTGGGGAGGGGAAGGGATAGGCGTTTGTAAGCCGCTCTGAGACAGCTTTGGGTTGTGAAGGGTGGGGTATAAATCCAATCTCTTCTTCTTCTCTTCTTCTTCTTTATTAATCTGGTTGTTATTTTAGGAAATTGGCTGCCTGAAGAGGGAATTTGCAGATGTTTCCTTGCATGATTTCAATCATGCCTGCGCAAGACTCTTACATGCCATTGGTGACCAGATGACTTTTTAAAACAAAATCGCTTGAGCTGGTTCATCAATATGCCCTAAAGGGGGGGGCGGGGGCGACAATAGTTGATATGTGGTTGTGACTCATTTGGTGTCTTGAGAAGGCAGCTTTGGCTCCTGCGGCCTGTTCAGTCTCTGGTAACTTGGTACTGCTTGTCAATGGCTCTGTGCACATGAAAATATGCAGCCTGTGCTTTGTTGTTTCTGGTTCACTAATGTACAATGCAGCCTAAACTTTGGTGACAAGGTAGTGTGTTGGATATTGTAGCTCTGCATGCAAGAGGATCTGAGAAGGAAAGGGTTAAGAGGATTCTCTTTTACTCAAGCACACTTGGGGCCAACTGCCAAGTGTGCTTGAGTAAAAGAGAATCCTCTTAACCCTTTCCTTCTCAGATACCCTTGTCACCAAAGTTTAGGCTGCATTGTACATTAGTGAACATGCAAAGGAGTTCCTGCTACAAACAAAAGCCCCTGGGTTTTGACAACAAACAAGGTAAACAGAATAAGAAGCAAAAGGTGGGTGTGGCTGGATGACCACACTTCTGGTAACATGGGGGTGTGGCCTAATGTGCTAATGAGCTGTCTTGTCAGGGGTGTGGCCTAATAGGCTAATGAGTTTCTGCAGTTGGGTATGGCCTATTATGCTAATGAGTTCCTGCTGGGTTTTTTCTACAAAAAGAGCCCTGCTGTGCACAATCAGTTAAACGTACCCACATGAATATGTCATGTGAGATGCGCTTCTATTTTTGTAAGTAAAATTTCTTTCTCCTGTTACCACCGGAGTCAGGTCCTCTTTGTAATTTGTTTGAACAACATTTTCACCTTAACTGGGAAACATGGAGGATCGGGGATACTGCGTAAAGCTCCTGCGCCTCCATGGGAAATTATTCTTTTACATTTAACTCAATCGTGTGAAATAGACTGGAGTTTAGTTGAGTCAGGAACTGCCTTTTCCAAACAGCCTTTCTTTTGCTTTTTCATGCAGATGCGGGAATATTGCATCCGACTAAGAAACATGGTAAAGACCAACTGTAGCAAAGCCGAGCTCGCAGTTGCAGTGGACACCATGATAGAGGAGGTGAGCTGGCTTGGGGGAGGGAGAACGGGCTAGGTGGGACCAACGCTCCCTCTACGCTATGGAGTCCTCTGAGCAAAAATTCTACTTTGTGAGCTGCTGACATTAAAGTTGTGAGCAAGTGCAGAAATTAGTTTGCTCTGGAGCCATCCTTCCTGAGCTAAGACAGAAATGTGTGAGCCAGAGGCTAAAAAATTGTGAGCTAGCTCACACTAACTCAGCTTAGAGGGAACACTGGGTGGGACGTACTTGTAAAGGCAGCGTTTATTTAGAGTGTTTTGAAGCCACCTTTCTGCCTAAAAGATCTGCAAGTTGGCTTGCAGCAAACAATACAGTATTTTACAGTGTACTAGCAAAACCCAGTAGTTATCCATGTAAAAAATCTAGAAAAAACCTCAAGCACCCAAGAAGCCTACAAGATTTAATCAACAATGATTTTTTAAAGACTTTTTACTTAATTCTTCATCCGCCTCTCATTGAAACCCACAGTGGTTTTCAAAATTAGAAAGCACTATAGTGAAACCAGCTGAAACACTTAGGTCCTGGTCACACGAGCCGGATAACGTGGGAGGGAGGCGTAGCTATTTGCGCCGTCGCAATTTGATGTGCCCCAATGCGCTGTTTCCATTGGTGGGTGTTTCCGGCATGCTCCAACCAGGAAGCAGGGACGCGAGAGGAGCTCTCTGGAACAATCACACGGAGAGCGTCCGTCTGCAGCCCGTCGCAACCAGTTGATAGTGGATTTTCCCAGGTACTTTTAAACTCTGCATCTTCGGCCGGACGATACTGGTTGGCGACAGGTGCGCGATGGTTACCAGATGTTTCCGTGTGATCGTACCCATATAATCCACCCAGCAATCGTGGCTCTCCCACAGCAACTTCTGCGTGTGACTGGGACCATACAGTGGATTAAAGAATAAAAACAGGATCGCAAAGTCTGAGAACAGAAATAAAAGCAGTACAGAACAAAGACAGTATTAATACATTCAGAGAACAATGCAGTATGGGGCTGGAAGGAACTGCCTAAAGATTCTCACGGATAATGACATCTGTAGCCTCTACAATCTTCAAGGGCAGCCCACCACATAACATATCACAGTAGTCTCAGAGGGCTGTTAACCAAGGCATGCCAGGTCAGCTTTCTCCAGGAGTGGTCACAGTTGATGAACCAGCTTCATTGTATAAAAAGAGGTCAGCCTCTTTGGACATCTGCCCACGTACAGAAAGGGGGGAGTCTGGAAGAACCGCCAAGCTGTGAATCCAGACTTCCTGGGGAGTACGTGACTCCATCCAGAAGAGATAAACAACGTATTCCCAGGTCAGCCTTCTTACCCACCCCAGCACCTCAATCCTGCGGAATTGTTTCAGTTTGTTTTCCCTCCAGGCCTTTTGCAGTCTCCAGAGACTGGTTTAGCACTTCATCCCCTTCCCTTGCATTTAGTGAGAAAAGGGCAGTGTACTCAGTGTCTGCAGCTGATCTCTCCCAACAGTTCCCTGTAGATATTAAAAGGTGTGTGTGTGGAGCAATAATTAGATCCAGGTGGTCAGCCGTGTTGGTCTGAAGCTGTAGAACAAATTTAGATTCCAGCGGCACCTTTGAGACCAACAGAGTTTTATTCAAGGTATGAGCTTTTGTGTGCACGCAACACTTTTCCAAATACATTGGAATGGAAGGCAAGACTGAACAGCAAGTTAACACTGAAGCAGCCCCACAGGCTCATTGCCACAAAGCTGAGTAGTGGTCCCCCAGTTGTACTTTCTGGAACTTCCCCTCAAGAAAGGAGCAAAACCCACATAGTGCTGTACCTGCCATGCCCATTCTCACTAGGCAGAGGTCTGTAAGACACTGTGGTACTGAAGGCTGCAGAAGAGAGTCCATCAAGACTAGCAGGAACACGTCCCCCCATAATTTGCATAGCAGGATGACCAAGGCAGTTTCTTTGCCATGGCTGGGTCTGGAGCCAGCTTTAAAAACCATCTGGAGATGATCGGTCTCCGCCTGGAACCCCTGGAACTGTTTGGCTACTGCCCTCTCCAAAACACTTCCCCATGGGAGGCTAGACTCCAGTCTACAGTTATTCCAGTCTGTCGTCTAATCAGTAGGGCCTTCTGTATTGCCTGGGCAACTCGTTCTTCCTGTAAGGAACTGTTAAGAATGGGAGCGGTCTGCTGAGTCAGTCCTCCGCAGGCTGCTTTGACAAACCAGGACAGCTGCAGGCCTAAAGCGCATGTGGTTGGCCTCTCATCTCCAGAAATCTTGTTCATGTTCACGGAACAAATCAAGTGAAAGGTATCTGTAAGAATGCCTATCAGAGACCTCAGGAACATTCAGCTCAGCCGTTGTTAATACATTGTCCGAGCAGATGTGGGCAATTTCCCCCACTAAAAGCGCTTGATTGGATAACTGGAAGCAAGGCTCAAATCCCCCTCCTCCGCAGTAATAACAGATAAGTGAGTTTCGACTGCAGCTAGATACTCCTTGGCATGTCGGTAGGAATGTTTCCCCCAGCTGGCTCACACTTTTTTAAAAAATATAAGTGTTTTTATTATTTAAAAAGTTTCAACACAGTACAACAGTAACAGAGTTATAACTTCTAGCTGCATTGTGGCAACAACAATCCCACAATATCCCAAAAACATACCAACATTAATACATTCCATTTAGAAGGAGACATCAAACACTGAAAATCAGAAATATAACAAATCCTGATAATAACTGTTCTTAGGGAGAACTTCACGGGCTCACACTTTTGATGGTGGTTGGTTTGCGCCTCCTGTGACTGTTAGTGCCAACTCTGTTCTGATTGGGAACGCCAGGCCTCTGTGCTTCCAGTTGCAATTGGAGTTCTCCTGGCTGAAGAAGAAGAGGAGATTGGATTTATACCCAGCTCTTCACTACCCGAAGGAATCTCAGGGTAGCTTACAATCTTTTTTCCCTTCCCCTCCCCACAACAGACACTCTGTGAGGTAGGTGGGGCTGAGAGAGCTCTTTCAAGGACTGCTTATGAGAGAACAGCACTGAAAGAAATTGTGACACACCCAAGGTCACCCAGCTGGCTTCATGTGGAGGAGTGGGGAATCAAACCTGGTTCTCCCAGATTAGAATCCACGTTCCTAAGCGCTACACCAAACTGGCATGCCAAGTATCTCTCTTTCTGGAGTTTTCCAGTATATCCGAAGAAGTGTGCCTGCACACAAATGCTTATACCCAGAATTAAACTTCATTGTTCTTAAAGGTGCCACTGGACTCAAACTTTGCTCTGCTGCTTCAGACCAACATGGCTGCCCACCAGTGCTCCCTCTAAGCTGTGGAGTCTTGTGAGCAAAAATTCTACTTTGTGAGCCGCTGGCATTAAAGTTATGCACAAGGATTTGGCTCCTGCATAAATTAGCTTGCTCTGGAGCCATCCTTCCTGAGCCAGGACAAAAATGTGTGAGCTGGAGGCTAAAAAACTGTGTTACTCAGCTTAGAAGGAACACGGCTACCCACCTGAATCTGACTTTCTAGAGTGGCGAGTGAACCCTGGTTTAAAGTGCAGGTGACCAGTCCTGGTGGATGCTTGCCTATCGAAAGAGATTCATCTCTTCTTGTTTCAACAGCCCTTTGAGCTCCTGTACTGTTGACTGGTGTGTTGAGCACAGGCTAACAAACGCCGCTGTGCTTTTCAGGTCACATGAGCGTGAGTGAAATATCTTGATTGCTCTTTGCTGAGGTCTGTTATAAATATATTTGGAATGCAGCTCTGCAGCGATTGGAAAAATCAATTGCTAAAAGCCACCTTTTGTGTACATAGCCCGTTGTTTTGTGGTGGGACGCTCCTAGAGTCCTTGCAAAATCTTGGAAAGAGTCATATAGGCTGCATTTTCTTCCTTAACGCTGACAGTGGTGCTTTCCTGCCCGAGCATCCGTGCTGGCTTTCTGCACTAGAGGGCAGCAAAGAACAATGCAAATTGTATTTTCTTCTGTTGTTGCACTCCAAGGTGCTGCATGTGGTTTCCCGGCAAGTTGGGGCTCCTCTGTTCACTTCCATGTGGGGGGATGCTCTGTGTATGAGTAGAGGACTTGGAGATGGCGAGTGGAAAGGAGGAGAATGGCTTGCTCCAGGCCACACAGGAATCCCTGCAAAAGTTAACTGACCATCCCAGGCCCTCCTCTCTCTCCATTGGAGAGACTGCCCCCACCCGGGAGTTCAGATTTCCCAGTTGCAATAAAGGCTCTGGAGTACCCCTCAATGCAACATGGGGTAGATGACAGTCCTCGCAATTTCCATGCTTGAATCCGATCTTGGGTCAAGGTGGCGTCTTCCTTTTGCTGTCTTCCCTCTTTATGTTTTTTGAGCCAAGAGGCAGATGTATTCTGACCGGAGCCAGACCCGGGGCTGTCTGCACAATTGTCCAAGGCCAAGCAAGTTCACATTTGCCTCCTTGAGGCAACTTTGGCAGAGGAAGTCTCCGAGAGGGGAAAGGTTTGGTGGAGGGAGAGTGACCTTCTCAGAGAACCTCTCTTTTCCATTTGGTTCCTGGCAGTGTCTTCTCTGGCACCCTCCAGGGATGCAGGTGGTTGTTTCATGCCTCCCCTGATCTCCCCAACTGACTGTTGCCAGGGCCTGGTGTGCCATGGGGAATCGTACGTTCCTCAGGAGCGTGTCTATCTCTGGCCACTTTGCTTGGTTCTGCTGACGGATTCGTGTTAGAATCGGGTCATTTTGTAGAAAAAGAGGTGCAGGAGCTAATTAGCATAACTCATTAGCATAACTTATTTGCATATACCACACACCCTGACATCACCAGAAGTGTGTCAGAAGGCAACACCCACCACTCAGGCTCCACTGGACTGTTTTGGATTGCTAGCTATTGGGGGGGGGGGACGCGCAGATCTGACCTCACAGAGGAGGGAGAGCTTGTACCTGAATAAAACTTGGTCTTAAAGGTGCCACTGGACTGTTTTGGACCCGGGGGGCTGGGGAGAGCTTACCTGGCTGCTTCTTACTCTGACTGAGGGCTGCTCGGAGCAGGGGGTGGGGCTCATGTGCCTGTCCCCTGGGCTCTTTACTGCCGGAGCTCCGCTCCTGTGCGCTCCTGCAGGAAATAACCCCTGGTTAGAATCCATTCATCAGGTCCCCGTGCTAAGGATGCAGGGTCAAATCATGGTTCCAAAAAGAGACAGGGCTAATGTTGAGTCTTGCTGTAGTTGCTGTGTTGCAGCAAATACTCTTAAAATACCCCCAATTTTTTGTATGGTTGAGCTTTAAATAGGGCTCTTTTTGTAGCAGGTACTCATTTGCATATTAAGTGACACGCCCCTAATGTAGCCAATCCTCCAAGAGCTTACAGTAGCTACTGTAAGAAGAGCTCTGTAAGCTCTTGGAGGATTGGCTGCATTAGGGGTGTGTGGCCTAATATGCAAAGGTGTTCCTGCTACAAAAAGAGCCCTAAAAGAAGAGCCTTTGGACCAGTGTTCCCTCTAAGATGAGTTAGTGTGAGCTAGCTCATAGTTTTTAAGCCTCCAGCTCACAGGTTTTGGTCTTGGCTCAGGAAGGATGGCTCCAGAGCAAACTAATGTATGCAGGAGCCAAGTCGTTCACTCACAACTTTAATGCCAGGAGTTCACAAAGCAGAATTTTGGCTCACAAGACTCCACAGTTTAAGAGGGAGGATTGATTTGGACCTTTACTAATCTTTGAAATTGGGCCCCCATCTGGGCCCTACCTGAAGGCCGGTTATTTATGGGGGAAATGAAGTTGCATTCGCCTTGGGGATGATTTTACTATGAAACAGTAAAATGCTTTATTATAAAAAGGAAATCGCCAAGAGAAAATGCCTTGCTTCACATCAGTCAGTCTTTATTATGGCCCACAGGCCATTCAGGAGCAGAGTAAAACAGAGAAAAATGCTCTCATAGAATTAATTTTCTATTTAATTTAGCTCCAGTGATCCCACATCAGTAGGCATGTTTGTTGTTTCTTTGTTTTTTGCTGTCAAGTCACAGCTGATCTATGGCAACCCTGTAGGGTTTTCAAGGCAAAAGATGTTCAGAGGTGGTTTGCCACGGCCTGCTTCTGTCTCACGATACTTACCTACATGAACTGTTCCGAGGTATCGCCGTGTGTTTACACTGGCTAGATTTAACGTGCTACCATCTGCCCTCCTGCCAGGAAGATACAAAACATTTCCACAGGGCTTTTTTTGTAGAAAAAGCCCAGCAGGAACTCATTAGCATAATAGGCCACACCCAATAGCACAAACTCATTAGCATATTAGGTCACACCCAACAGCACAGCTCATTAGCATATTAGGCCACACCCCATGTTACCAGAAGTGTGGTCTTCCAGCCACACCCACCTTTTGCTTCTTATTCTGTTTACTTTGTTTATTGTCAAAACCCAGGGCTTTTTTTCGTAGCAGGAGCTTCTTTGCATGTTAGGCCACACACCCCTAATGTAGCCAATCCTAATGCTGTTGGGTGTGGCCTATTATGCTAATTAGTTCCTGCTGGGCGTGGCCAACTCAGGAGCCAGTCGGAACTCTGTTCCTGTGCGTTCCTGCCCAAAAATAGCCCTGCATTTCCATCTAACTGTAGATTTTATCCTTGGTCTGTTAACCTGATTCACATGTTTTTCCATCGTAGATTCTGTATATAGGCAGCACTAGGATTTATTGGAACCTCGCTCCATACATTACAATTTCAATGTCCAAAGTAATATCACACACACTATTTCAGACTTTTTAATAATCTCATTTTTGGCCCATGAGTGGCTCCCAAGGCTAACGGATTGTCCTTTAAGCGACCCATAAGGTAACCCACTGACAGTGGCTCCATTTTGCAGAGGGGAGACTGAGATAAGCAGGAGCCCTCTGGTGAGTGGACAGGAGATAGGAGGTCCGATTCACACATTGGGGGTGAGATGAGGTTGCAGATCCCGGGAGAATGGATTGCAGCACTGCAGATTGTAGGGGAAACATCACACTTCAGTGTGCTCTGCTGTGTTGGAAACAAAATGCTCTGCATCGGTATAGAACCAGCCCAGTACTTTATGCAAAAGAACATTCAGAGCTGCAATCCACCAGCTGCAGTCTGAACCGGTGCACTCTGTCCCACTGCCTTTGGTTCGGTCATGTGACTCCCCGGCTTGTATGAACCTGGCTGTAATGCAGCTAAAACCCTTCACCGCGCGACAGCATCCGCTTCCTCAAATTCTCTGTTTATGCCCAGTCACAAAACGTTTCCTTGGTTTAAAAAAAGACTTTTACATACATTATAGATGCACTATCTGCAGTGCTCCCTCTAAGCTGTGTAGTCTTGTGAGTACAAGTTCTACTTTGTGAGCTGCTGGCATTAAAGTTGTGAGCGAGCAGTTTGGCTACTGCAAAAATAAGTTTGCTCGGGAGCCCTCCTTCCTGAGCTAAGGCAAAAATGTGTGAGCCAGAGGCTACAGAACTGTGAGCTAGCTCACACTAACTCAGCTTAGAGGGAACATTGAATCTGTATATGTACTATCTTACCATCTCACGTTACTGCAGACCTTTTTTGTTTGCAAGACTGAACATTATACTTACAATGGTTTTGCAAGGGAGATTTTTGAATAGGCCCCTGTGGCCTTAGCAGGGTTGATACATCCTTTCACACCCTGCTGGAATGCAGATTTTTTTGAGATTATGAGGGGTTACTATATTAAGCCTTTATTCAACCATTCATCCTCCTATACTCCGGAAACCCTGGCTCTTTTGCTCAGTGATAAGGATCCCGAGATCACTCTAGCAATTGCAAAATTTTAGTCCTTGCATCTAAAATAAGTGTTTTGTGCTGCTCAAGATTTGTGCATCAGTGAGCATCTAAGGGTACAAAAGGAAAGACGTGCGTGGGAGAGGGGCGCATCGAAATCAAATTGTACTTTGGGATGGAAAGATCAGGGGCATGCAGGACAGGTTTTGCAGTGAACATGCCAGTTGGGGCAGGGGAGCCGACCTTGTACAGTTTGGTCCTCTCCTGCTAAATTTCTGTCATTAACACACTGAGTCAGTTCCTTTTGGGGGTTCCAGAATCGCATCCTAGGTTTGTTGTCACTGGGAGTGACGATAGGTCTCCAAATGGTATTGCAAAGGGGACCAGCTTCCCTATGAGAAATGGCCGAAGAGTCTGGGACTTTCAGTTTAGAAAAGAGACAACTGGGGGGGGGGGGCATGATAGAAGTTTATAGAATTGTTCATTGGGTGGAGAGAGTTGACAAAGAGAATTTTTTCTCCCTCTCCCAAAATACTGGAACTCGAGGACATTCAATGAAACTGATGGGCAGTAGGTTCAGGACGGACAAAAGGAAACACTGCTTTACACAGAGAGTGATTAAAAAGTGGAATTTGCTGCCAGAGGATGTAGTGATGGCCACAGTAATGGACAGCTTAAAAAGGGGATTAGATAGATTCATGGAGGAGAGGTCTATCAGGGGCTACTAGCCATGGTGACTGAGGTGGACCTCCATGTTCAGAGGCAGTAATCTGAGAGCCAGTTTGGTGTAGTGGCTAAGTGCACTGACTCTAATCTGGGAGAACCGGGTTTGATCCCCCACTCCTCCACTTGCACCTGGCTGGATGACCTTGGGCAAGCCGTAGTTCTGATAAGAGCTGTTCTTGAAAAAGAACCGTTTCTGTCAGAGCTCTCTCAGCCCCACCTCCCTCCCAGGGTGTCTGTTGTGGGGAGGGGAAGGGAAAGGAGTTTGTAAGCCGCTCTGAGACACCTTTGGGTAGTGAAGGGCGGGGTATAAATCCAATCTCCTCTTCCTCTAATCCTCTGAATCCCAAAGCCAGGAGGCAACATCAGGGGAAGGCCTGGGCCTCTCTGCCCTGTTGTTGGCCCTCCAGAGGAACTGGTTGGCCCCTGTGTGAGACAGGATGCTGGACTAGATGGACCATTGCTCTGATCCAGCAGGGCTCTTCATAGGTTCTTACGACGAGTAAAATTTCTTTATTTTAGGTGTCTTGGAAATGACTGTTAAACTTGGTGGATATAGCAATAAATCAAATGAAGAAAGATTTCTTTTTTTTCCTTTTGCACATTGTTTAATATCGAGGGCCTTTGCCCTTAAATGCTTTTTCGTTCCTCATATAGGTCTGTTAGAGAGGTGTTTGGGGGGATATTTTTTAGACCAGGTATATACCTTGTGATTTTGTGCTCTTTCCTCCTCCGTGTGTGTGCAAAGGGCCATTGAGTTGCAGCTGACGTATGGTGACCCTGTAGGGTTTTCAAGGCAAGAGACATTCAGAGGTGGTTCACGGTTGCCTTCCTATGCATAGCGACCCTGGGCTTCCTTGGTGGTCTCTCATCCAAATACTAACCAGGGCGGATCCTGCTTAGCTTCCGAGACCTGACGAGATCAGGCTAGCCTGGGCCACCTGGGTCAGGACACTCCTTCCTCCTGCCCTCTCTTATCGAGATTCCTTCCCTGGCTTGCTTTCAGTTTTTATGGCATAAGATCGGTACGGATGCTGAGGGGACGGCGCTCACTCTTCCATTCTCTCGCTCTGCCCCTGAAAGGTATTTCGAATAGTTTCCATCTGCCTGGGGAGCCCACCGGAAACGTTCTGCTGGGAGTTCTACGATAAGGAGAAGACCTATCACAAGATCGGGCCAGTCTCGCCATTGCAGTTCTACCAGGAGCACGTCAAGCCCGTCTTCGATATGGAAAGCAAAGTTGGGTAACGCCATAAAATCCTTGAATGCAGGGCTCTTTTTGTAGAAAAAGCCCAGCAGGAACTCATTAGCATAATAGGCCACACCCAACAGCAGAAACTCATTAGCATATTAGGCCACACCCCTGACAGCACAGCTCATTAGCCCATTAGGCTGCACCCCCATGTTACCAGAAGTGTGGTCATCCAGCCACACCCACCTTTTGCTTCTTATTCTGTTGACCTTTTGTTGTCAAACCCAGGGCCTTTTTTGTAGCAGGAACTCCTTTGCATGTTAGGCCACACACCCCTAATGTAGCCAATCCTAATGGGTTTCTGCTGTTGGGTGTGGCCTATTATGCTAATGAGTTCCTGCTGGGCGTGGCCAACTCGGGAGCCAGACGGAACTCCGTTCCTGTGCGTTCCTGCCCAAAAATAGCCCTGCCTGAATGTAGTGGCTTGGCGCCATTGTGGGCACCTTCCACTGACACATGTAGAAGGAAAGTGGCCTTTAACCTTCCTTCCTCTAGGTGAATCCTGCCCAGTGGCTTCAACCTGGACGTACAGACCTGTGGCAGCCTCTGTTGCCCTCTGTTTCCCTTGCTGGGTACGTGTGACCCCCTCCCCATCTGATCCAGTTGGTGTCGCCAACCTCCAGGTGGAGTCCGGAGATCTCTCACAGTTACAGCTGACCTCCAGGCGACATAAATCCCTTATTTATCTATTACTTATTTATTTAAAACATTTATTTATTTCAAACATTTATTCCACTTGTCCTGGAGAAAATGGCTGCTTTGGAAGGTGGCGAGCATGGACTACGGCCCTACCAAGGGCTCTCCCCTTCTTAAACCCCACTTCCTCAGGCTCCACCTTCAAACCCCTCGCCCATTTAGTCCGGAGCTATGGGCTGGGTTGTCATCAGTACGCTGATGATACCCAGCTCTATCTGTTAATGGATGGCCATCTGTTCTTCCGTTCCCACGGACTTGGCTGAGGCTTTGGGTGCTGTGGCGGGATGGTTGCGGCGGAGTCGGTTGAAGTTAAATCCATCGAGAGCGGAGGTCCTGTACCTGGGCCGAGGGGGGTTGGATGGGGGCGCCAGGCTCCCCACACTGGAAGGGGCACCTTTGGTGCCGGCCCAGACAGTGAGGAGTCTGGGAGTGACACTGGATGCCTCTCTCTCCATGGAGGCCCAGGTTGCTGCAGTTGCCAGATCTGCGTTTTTCCATCTTAGGCAGATCAGGCTACTGAAGCCCTATCTGTCCCCCCAAGACCTAGCGACGGTGACCCATGCAATGGTCACTTCCGGACTTGACTACTGCAACTCGCTCTACGCAGGCTTACCCTTAAAGCTGATCCGGAAATTTCAACTGGTGCAGAATGTGGCAGCGCGCCTGCTGACGTCAGGGCCTATGCTGGCTCACGTTAGGCACGTGCTCCGCCAACCTGCATTGGTTGCCAGTTGAGTACCGGATTTGCTTCAAGGTGTTGGTTTTGACCTTCAAAACCTTATATGGCCTGGGACTAACATATCTAAGGGACCGCCTCTTCCCATATACGCCTCGAAGAGCGTTACGCTCGGAAGATCAACATCTCCTGGTGGTCCCTGGCCCGAAGGACGGCCGTCTTGCCTCAACCGGGGCCAGGGCTTTCTCTGTCCTGGCCCCAGCCTGGTGGAACAGGTTCCCTATTGAGACCAGGGCCCTGCGGGACCTCCTTCAATTCCACAGGGCCTGCAAGACGGAGCTCTTCCGCCAGGCCTTTGGTTGAGGCAGCGGGTGCCCATCTATGGCCTCCCTGGGGTTGCTGTCACCCGTCTGTCACCTGCCTACTGACCACCGACAACTGGCCTTTAACTCGTTGTACCACTGGGCCAGAACTTTATAGCCAACTGACGCTTGTTCCAAGCAGTACCCATTGTTTTAGTTGTTATAATGTTTTATTGTGTCTCAATGTTTAATGTTTTAAACTGAACTTCTAATGATGTTACCTGCCCTGAGCCCGCCCGCAAGTTGGGCGGGATATAAATGATGATGATGATGATGATATAATAACTAAATAATCTCCAGGTATTTCTGAATCCGGAGTTGGCAACCCTAGGTGCCTATCTGGCACACAACAAGCCCGTCTAGCTGACACTCCCTAAATCCACAGGGGACGAAGGATTTTTTGATACAGGTCTGCAAGAACAGGAGGTTTATCTGGCAGGCTGTGCATGGCCCAAGGTCTACGAATTCAACCTGATTGGGTGTGTTCCGAGGGGTGGAACCTAGTATTAGGCACAGCGTGAGACTGCCACCCGAAGTGGCATCCCTGTAGCACATAAAGGGGCCCACCATGTGTGGTGACACCATTAAGTAGATAGCTTCCCCCGTGTCTCTCTCCAGGGCATTGGGTGCTGCTGAGAAGGAATCCTGCACCGTGATACCATCACAATAGGGGGCCCTACGAGTCTCCGGATGGGGAGTGGGAGATGGGAACGCCATTCTAAGCAGCAGCCCTGTGTTGAGTGTGCTGTATCGATCGGCCCCGAGCAGATCTCGAAAAACTCACCTGGAGGTGCTAGTTACGAGCCCCCATCAGGAGGGTGGAGTCAGAATGAGTCCTCATCCCGACACATAAGGAACTCACGGAACATGTTGCCACAAGATGTGGTGGATGCTAACCTTAGACCGCTTTGTGACCAGGCTGGACAAAACTGACACAGGATGACTCTCTTGACCGCTAAATGAGTCATGCTAGCTAAATTGAACCTCCATGGTCAGACGAACGGAGGGGGGAACAGGGAAGTGGCTGTCACCACCTGTGCCTTGCAGTCCCAGAGGCCTCTGGCGAGCTGTTCTTAGAGGGAGCTGGCGTGCCGGCCAGAGGTTCCCTTTGGCCTCCTCTAGCAAAGAGGATGTGCAGCTCTACCTGAGGGAGTCAGTACAGCTAGGACACACCTTCGTGAACCCCCCTCTGTCTTTTTACGATGACCCAATGGTTTGGCTTACTCTTTTTTAAATCTTGGCAGGTTTGCCTCGTCAACGACCCCCGGCCCCAGAACCCATACAACAGACTGTACACGGTGGAGTATCTGAGCAACATGGTTGGGGGAAGAAAGACTCTTTACAACAACCAGCCGATTGAGCTCTTGAAGAAAGTGGCCGCCTCTTCTATTCGGGACGGAGAGGTCTGGTCCATTGCTTTGGCCTGTGGGCGTGTAGGGCTGTCCCTTCCCTTTGGGTCTCCCAAAGGGGCCTGACAGCCAGCTGCTCCTTCTCTTCCCAGGCGGTCTGGTTCGGCTGTGACGTCGGAAAGCACTTCAACAGCAAACTGGGCATCAACGACATGAACATGTAAGTGTTGGCAAAGGAGCACATCGGGCCGTGAGCCAGCAAGCTGCCTTCCGGGAGGGGTTCCAGCTCTCCTGGTTATGCTGAGCTTGGCGCACCGGGGCCAACCAATCCCTGTTCCCATTCTTGTGTTTACTTCTGCTCCGTGTCTGCTTACTGCTGATTTTATGCTGTTCTTATATGATGTAAGGCGACTATTGAAGGCTGTACCCCCACATGTCACTGTCCTTTTTTGGTGTAGTGGTTTGGTGCCAGTTTGGTGTCGTGGTTAAGTGCGCGGACTCTAATCTGGGAGAACCGCGTTTGATTCCCCACTCCTCCACTTGCAGCTGCTCGATGACCTTGGGCAAGCCAAAGTCCTGTCAGAGCGGTTCTTGAAAAAGAGCAGTTTCTGTCAGAGCCCTCTCAGCCCCACCGACCTCACAGGGTGTCTGTTGTGGGGAGGGGAAGGGAAACCGCTCTGGGTAGTGAAGGGCGGGGTATATATCCAAGCTCTTCTTCTTTGTGTGGACTATTTGTAGATTTGATCACAAGCTGGTGTTCGGGGTGTCTGTCAAGAACATGAACAAGGACGAGCGGCTGATCTTCGGGGATTCCATGATGACCCACGCCATGGTCCTAACTGCTTTCACCGAGAAGGTGAGCTGCTGGGGCAGATAACTTCCCTGCCCCCACATGATGGTCCTTGGAGCAAGGCCCACTGGCAGAATCCTTTTGAGCAAATGTGTCAGTTGCATTGCATACCTTTTGCAAAAGACCGTCGTTATCTAACGATGACAAGATTTGCATCCAGCTCTTGGGGGCCTCCTGCCCTCTCAGCTCCTCACTGATGATGGGTCAGGCAGCAATAGTGACTGGCCCCCCAAGATGAAGAAGGCATGTGGCTGAACGTTGTGGCCACACTGATTTGAAAGGCCAGGCTATTGACACTGGTCCTTCCCCTTCTGAACCAACATGCCACATGAAAATTAGTAGAAAAGCAGCGAACAAAACTGGAAAACCAGCAAAGAAAAATAGCCGGGCTGAAAACACACCACAAATAAATATGAGAGGAAAGAGATGAAAAAGGTCACATTACTATACCCCTTCCTAAAATCACTCTGACAAAGGTAGCTTCCAACGTTGACAAAACTTATTCCCTCCCGCCCAAATTTTGTTGGCCTCTAAGGTGCTGGTGGAAAGTGCCATCAGGTCACAGCTGATTTATGGTGACCCCCTAGGCCAGGGGTGTCGAACTCATTTGTTATGGGGTCCGGATCTGACATAAATGAGCCCTTGTTGGGCCGGGCCAAGTGTGTCATAAAATGTAATGCCAGGTAGCGGAGATATAAACTTTATAAAGGACGCAAACACAAAGGTGTTTTTTTTTTAAATTTAAATTAAAAATATGCTTAAAACATCAGCACTCTTGCAATATTTTGTTTATTTAGCAGTGTCTGATAACTGACACCTCTTGCTCTGAATTATTGCATCAAAATGTCTGTGCTGTTGCAGTCTTCAGGGTGCTGTTCAGGTGTGTATCTGTAAGCTGCAAACCTACGATGACGCAGCAGCAGCAGAACTGGAAGAAGAAGCAGAAGACAGCCAGTTCCGCTGCGGGCCTGATAGGAGCCCTCCGGGGGCCTGATCCGGCCCCCGGGCCGCATGTTTGACACCCCAGCCCTAGGCTTTCCGAGGCAAGAGACATTCCAAGATGGTTCGCCGTTCCGTGCCTCTGCGTAGCGACCCTGGACTTCCTTGGTGGCCTACCGTCCAACTACTGACCAGGCCCGACCCTGCTTAACTTCTGAGATCTGATGAGAGCGGTCCAGCCTGGGCGAGCTACTGGCGGAATCTGGCTCTTCTGTTGCAGACAGTCATGGCTGCCCTCCGGAAACTAAGATCACTCAGTAAGCCTTGTGGCTGCGTGGAGATTTTAACAGCAGGCAACCAGCAGTTCAAACATTTGGAGGCTCTTTGCTCTCAGAAATCCAAATAATTAAAACTTCTTTCCGTGGAAGACGGTGAGATTAAAAACTGCAGTGCTTTTTTAGGCATTCCGTAAACACTGCCGGATTTGCCAACCGCCCCCTGAAGGCAGATTTCAATTTTTTTTTTGGTTTGTTTCTAAATACCTGTTGTGCAAACAGATTTCTGTCTACAATTGCAATGTAACTTTCTTTTCCCAAAAGGTACTTCTTAATCCTCGCCAGCCTTTGCTAAGCTCACTGTTGTTTGACCCAGTTTAAGGGCTTAAACGTGCTTCCAGGCAGACCTTCCAAGGCTTGTTTGGTTTGAGCTAGAAGGCAGTTTTGATGAGAAATTCCAGAATCCTGAGGCCAGGAAGGGCCTGGGTGGAGGGGGGGTCCTTCATTCCCTCATGCAAAACCTTTTTGAAAGTCGGCTTTGTGAATTTTTGAGCTTAGAATACACGCCCGCTCTCTCAATGCATTGCATCCAGGGAGTCAATAAACTGATTTTATTATTTGCGTTATGGTAGGGATTGCCTGGTAGATGGCCCGTTCACCAAATTCTGCATTTCTTGCCCGGCCCTCCCCATTTCCCTGAAAACAAAGGCAGAGGATGCATTTTAGCATCAATAAAACACAGCCCACGAAGGGCAAGTTGGGAACTGTCACTTTCAGGCCCTGATACAAGCGTGATGGGATTTGGGCTTGTAGCCCTCATGCCCTGGAAGAGGGCGAGGGAGTTGTTCCCTGTGTCCAGGGTGCCACCTCCACTCCTGCACATCTGTGAGCCGATGGAAGTTTGCCTTTCTACGACCGGAAGCGGTGGTTGCTTCTAGTTGCTTTTGGAGGGGTTTCCTCACAGTTCCTTCATGTTTCCTTTCTAGGAAGACCAAGAGGACTCCTTTGAGAAGTGGCGTGTGGAGAACTCATGGGGGGAAGATCGTGGGAATAAAGGTAACCATTTCTCCCTGATGGGTCTGGATATGGGGTGTCTTTAAAGGAGGTTAGGCTGCTGTGGCTCGGTGACGGAACACCCATTGTTCTGCAGAAGGTCAGCGCCGGCATTCTCTGCTGGGGACCCTGGAGCGCTGCTGCCAGTCAGAGGAGGCAACACTAATCCAGGGAGACCACGGGACTGACTTAGGCAGGCAGCCTCCCATGTGTCAGGCTTCCCCACAGCATCAATGAAGTACACTCTTGCAGAAAGGTTTTACTTTATTTGAAGCTATAGGTGCATGTACAGGATCACTGTTAGGAATGAGGGGGGAGCAACGAGCATGACAGGTTATATTACATTCAAACAGATGAGGCTCAATTGCGTGACTTCCCCTGCGCGCCATCGGGCCTGGGAGCAAACGCTTCTAGGCGGCATAACATATCTCCTTCCCACGGTTCTTCGTGAGATCACCCAAGCAACTATCCAGCAGCAACCACCTGTGGCCTTGAGAGATATAGACGTTCCAGCAGCTAAGCAATTAAGCACATCAACAGGTCTACATATGAAAGCGAAAGCAATCAAGCGCATACATGGAGAACCAACAGAAAAGAAATTTGGTAGCTTGCTGACACCGTGTCCCCGTGAGCACTGCCCCACACTTGTACAAGACAGCGAAGAGTTGTGGTGCGTCCCTGGCAGCGGGACGCCTTCACTCACTGTGTCCTGGCATCTTAAGGCACTTGGTAAAATCTGTTTCAAGATTTCCCCCATGTTTTATACTTGCACGAGGATTATGGGGTCTCCTGCTTTTGAGATCTCCCCCATCCTCAGCGGCACCTGAGAATTTGTTCTGTGTGTTGATTTTGTGTTCCTGTTTTCATTAACCGCCTAGAGTACTTTTCTGGCAGAAAGTAAGTCAATGTCTCTGGGACGCAACATGGTGGAGAGGCCACGTTTTTTATTTTGCTTCACAAATATTTCCCACCTTTCATAATAGGCAGTGCTCAAGGTTGCTGACATAATACGAACAGGGCTCTAGTCGGGGGGGAGCTCTCAGGTACGGAGCTCCGGAAGAGAACCTCTAGGGGGCGGGGCGGTCACGTGGTGAAGCCCCGCGCCCTTCTTTACCCCGCCCTCTGCTTCGATCCTCATTCCGTTTGGGAATGAGGATGAAGCAGGAGGGTAAGTAGCCGGGCCTTCTGACACACTTCCGGTGATGTCAGGGGGTGTGGCCTTCTGTCACTTCCGGTGATGTCAGGGGGCGTGGCATATGCAAATAAGTTATGCTAATGAGTTATGCTAATGAGCTCCGGCAGCTCTTTTTCTACAACAAGACCCCTGAATACGAATGAAACCTCAACCCATTAACATAAGTCACGTGGGAAAGAGCCAGTCCTGGAAACCACCCTCTTTCCGCCTGCCTCTTCTTCAAGGTCTGAGCAGGAATCGCCTGCCAGCCTCCTCTCCAGGCACAGCTTCATTTAAAAAAAACAACAACATTTTTATTGCTTTTCTAAACTACAGTACTGCAGGGTCGGGGGATGGGAACAACCTAAAACTAGAGTAACAAGGATCCTTATTACAGAAGTTTAAAATTGTTGATACATCTCTTTTATCCAAATAATAAAGCATGAGAGATATTATAATAAAAATATCAGATTAAAAGGCAAACAATCAGAAACATATTTGGCTGTAGTTGGGCATCTTAGTTTTAAAATTATACGTTGACAATAAACGCTGTAGTGTAAATATGCATTTAAAATAAACGCACATTTAGAGTTATGCATTAAGAATAAACATCAGGCTATCGAAATTACGCTGTTTTACATTTTCCTCTCCTCCTGTCAAAGTCCAAATTAGTTTTTAAATGCTTTAGGGGCAGCAACCCCTAGTTCTGCTTCAAATCAAAGGGTTTTGCCAGACTAATCGAGATGATATCAGAGCCACATCCTTCTCTTCATCTTCTTCCGTGTCTTTATTCACCTCCACTTTCTCAGGTCCCTCTCCCGCTTTCTGTTGTTGCTTCAGGAACATCCGCTTTGCTTCTTTCTCCAGGCACAACTTCAGCCGCAGGGTTTGGGCCTCCATATGGTGGAGTGCCGTCAGGTCACGGCTGACGTACGGCAACCCTGTAGGTTTTCAAGGCAAGAGATGGCCTGCCTCCCGGTCACGACCCTGGTATTGCTTGGAAGTCTCCCATCCAAATACTAGCCAGGGCCGACCCTGCTTAGCTTCCGAGATCTGAGAAGATCAGGCTAGCCTGGGCAGTCCAGGTCAGGGCGTGCCTCATATACCTTCCCGCTATTTGGATCAGGAACCCTGGCACGCTTGCTCTCTCCCTTCCCTGTGCACGAGATTCATTGGTTCCGTCATTTAGGCCATGGTGTCCTGCTAGAAGCTCTGTAAGAGAGGCGGTAAACAGGTGCTGGGGCTCTCACTGCTGATTCATTCGATCTGGAAGCCCCCCCAGTTGACTAATCCAGGCTGCCACAGGCACGTATATTGTCACAGAGAAGGGGTTAGTTTCCATTTCAGTGTATCTGAGGCAGTGTGCGTGGCACATGAAAGCTCATACCTGGAATAAACTTTTGTTGGTCTCGAAGGTACCACTGGACTCAAAAATCTGTTAGAGAAGGTGTGTAATTCCGAGAGCAAAATGTGAAGAAGAAGAAGAAGAAGAAGAAGAGATTGGATTTATACACCGCCCTTCACTTGGAGTCTCAGAGCGGCTTACAAACTCCTTTCCCTCCCCCTCCCCACAACAGACACCCTGTGAGGTGGGTGGGGCTGAGAGAACTCTGACACAAACTGCTCTTTTTCACGGACAGCTGTGCCAGAGCTTGTGACTGACCCAAGGTCACATCAGCAGGTGCAAGTGGAGGAGTGGGGAATCAAACCCGGTTCTCCCAGATTAGAGTCCGCACACTTAACCACGACACCAAACTGGCTCTCTCATGTTCCATGCCTCAAATGTGGATCCCCTTGGGGCATGGAACATGCCTGACTAGCAGCCCCTGTGGTGGTAAAAAGTCTAACTCCCAGCCAAAGGGCTGAGCACTTTACCCGGCACGGTTAGGGGAGCCCATCTGTTTCTCTTGGCCTGCCTGGTCTCTTCTGCCCCAGCACAGGATTCTTATGAACTGGTGAAGGCACTTCTTGGCTCCTGCTGCCAGGACACTGGATAGTCCTGGCAGATGCACAAAACAGAGATCCCCCCACTCTCCCCTCCTCCCCCCTTTAATAACCGCCGGGTCATAAGGCAAAGCTTAGAGAATTCCTGGATGGCGTTTATGGCCAAGAAGGAACACATCCACCTGCCCCGCTTGGGCTCTGTTCCTTTCAGCCCCTGATCTAATCTCATTTTGTATGGGGAAAAGTTCATTAGCCTTTCTTAAAGCTTTCTTGGAGGGAAAGGTTGCTATTGGTACCTTCTGGGGGGTGGGGGACAAAACACAGGCTATGCCACAGCCTGCCAAACAACTCTTGTTTCTCGAATCAGCGCTGGAATAGGGGCTTTTCTCCCTCCCCACATGGCACCCCAGTGTATTTCATGGGAGACAGTGCCAGACAAAACCGCATGGCCTCTTGGCAGCGCTTAACAGATGCCCCAGGTCCTCTTGAACAGGGAATTCCCTGGTCACTGTGAAAGGAAGGAGGCTCGTGGGGCAACGAGTATCACCGACTGGCTGCTTTAGAATCTCCCATCCTCTGTCCAGTCTGGCACATGGGGAGATTATCACTAGCCTGTTGTATGTTCAGGAAGCACTCTGTTGTATGTTCAGGAAGCACTCTGTTGTATGTTCAGGAAGCACTCTGAACTCTGGGGGGAAAGCAGCACATGAGCAGTAACGGTGATGTTGTTTACTAATACATGCAGCTGCATTTGACAAGCGTGGGCATCGCCCTGGGTTGCCCGGCTGTTCCACCTCTCTGTTGTGCGAGGGCCAATAGGTGAGGGGAGAAGGTCTCACAGTGCCCCTTTCTAGGTTTGCCTTGCTACGAGGGCTGCAAATCCCCCCCCCCCACCCACACACACACGGGGTGTTTAGAACTCTTAGCATCCTTTGTTTGGAATCTGCCTGTGTAGGAGTCGCTTGGGATTGTATAGCTTTGCCATTAGAAATAAAAATCGGTGGTTTGGACTGCGTAGATGACATTTTGGTGCTAGAGGCGCGGGGGGGGAGGCAGGCAGTGCCCCGACAGAGTCATCCAGCCAGCAGCCCTGAATGCCTTTTGTTGAAAGAAAATAACCAAAGGGTCTCTCCCATTGAGACTTGAGCCTTCAGGTGCACAGCCCGGCCTTTCTCGGCAAGGCCAAGGCAGAGAGAGTGTTGTGCAGGAGGGCTGCATGAATGATCTCCACGTGCAGCCGTCCCGTCCCCCCCACGCCCCCATCACTGCTGGGCTATTTTTAGCTCTTCGTTTACCCCTCCGTTTTATAAGCCTGCTGTAACCCAGAGTTGCTCCAGCAGTGAAAAATGCCTGAACCCACAAGACTCGTTGCTGGCCGCCAAAGACAAGTGCACAAAACTCTTTGGGCTTTTAAGAGATTAAAAATAACAAGGCGAGAGCTGGCCCGATTACAGGCATTCCTCAGCGCTGACCTTGTCAAGCCGGCTTGCTGGCAGCCCAGGGTCTCCCTGAGCTCCTTCCCGGCTTGCTCTTCTTCGAGGCCCCCCGTTTCATGAATGGGATCCGGAGGAGCCTTTGCCCCTCCCCAGCCCCAGCCCTGCCCCGGCTGGATAGGCAGAGGTGGGCCCCGCAGTGCCCTGCCTGGCCAGTTGCCCTCAGCTCACTGGAGGATCTCTTCTGGCTCTGGAGTGCTGCTTGCTTCAGGGCTGGGGCTTCTTACATCGCATGCGTTAGGGTCGCTGTTGAATTTGTGCTGGTCCCCATGGCCAAGGGAGGGGCTGGTGAGGGGCACATGCTCCCTCTAAGCTGTGGAGTCTTGTGAGCAAAACTTTGTGAGCTACTGGCCTTTAAGTTGTGAGCGAGCGATTTGGCTACGGCATAACTT